ACTTGTTGAGATGAGTACTGGGTGTTATATGTAAGTCATGAATCATTGAGTTCTATTCCTGAAACCAATACTACACGGTATGTTAACTAACTTGAATTTAAAGAAATATATTTTTTAAAAAAGATGAAAGACTCCTAAAGGTCTTTTGGATAGTTTCTTTATGCCCTTAAGCCCCAGGGATAGAATGATGAAAGAACCCTGGGCAGGAAAGCAGGAGATCCTTCCTGTTTCTACTTCAACGTGGGCCAATAACTTAGTATATGCTAACTTGTGTGAATAGTTCAATCTCTCTGTGCTTCTGTTTCTTTATTTGTAAAATCAGGGGCTCAGATTGGATTTCCTAAGAACTCTTCCATATTTCACATTCTGTGAATCTATTGCTGAGACACCCCCAACCTTATGTCTAAGCATGCTGAGTGAGAGCATATTATGGGGAGCTCATTGCATTTCAGGTGTTTTCCTCCATATTGAATTAAATCCTCATTTATCTTTGCGTCTGCCTCATACCTCCCACAACTTTATTTTAGGTTGTAAGCTTTGCTGCCAGATTTTTTCTTTCTTTTTTTTTTCTTTCTATTCTTCTTGACCTAAAGTAGTAAAAGAGTTACTATGACAACAGAGTAATTTTCTTAGATGGCCACATTCAATTTGCCTAAGTAGATATTAGGAGTGCAACATGTTTCATTAGCTCCAATGCCCTTGGGATGTAACACTGAAGAGCTGGGCAGACCAGAGCTTCTGGTTAAGCCCATTGAAACCTGGGTCTATTGACTGTGTAGAGATGACATTTTCTTTATAGGGCCTGTGTCTTAGTTGCTTAGACCTGGAAAGTACCAAAAGTAATTACTAAAGGAAATTGTAAGGAGATCTGCTACTTTAGCTAACAAAAAAAGAAATGGAAGAAAAACTTTAAACACAGTGCTAGATAGCATAAATCAGAAAGTAAATATCCAAGATATTAAAAAATATATTTTGTATCTGTTTGTTTATTTTCCTTTTCTATGAAAGAGGAAAACAGACCTTTATCTAAATTAAAGGTTAGATTCCCAAAGGCAATATATTAAGCAGATGGAAATTATATGCAACTAACATCCAACAGTAAGGAAATAGAATGAATTTTGTTATTAGAGTAAAATGTTAATTCTAATTAATAATCATAAGGGCAATACAAATAAAAATTAATTATTATAATAGTAAAATACATTTTATTCATCAATGAATATATTTTAAATGTTTTCAATATGCCAGATACTGTGTTTATGATAAAAATATGGAATATGTATTATGATTATTATCCCAGTTTTACAGATAAGAGAAATAGAGACTTAGAGAGGTCATTGGCAAGCTGAGTACCAAATTTAGGGTGATCTCACCTCTGTACTTAGCCATACACAGTACTTGCATACTCTGGACATATCTTGCAACTGCCCAGACCATTGAGGATGATGAAGTTAAAAAGTAAAGGTTTTAATGTACCTTCTCCAAAGACTGTGTTAAGTGTGTGTATGTTTGGGGGCACCTGTGTGGCTCAATCGGTTAAGCGTCCGACTTGGACTCAGGTCATGATCTCATGGTTTGTGGGTTCGAGCCCTGCGTTGGGCTCTGTGCTGACAGCTAGCACAGAATCTGGAGCCTGCTTGGGATTCTGTGTCTCCCTCTCTCTCTGACCCTCCTCTGCTCGTGCTGTCTCTCTCTTTCTCTCTCTCTCTCTCTCAGAAATAAATAAAAACATTAAAATTTTTTTTTAAAAAGCGTGTGTATGGGGCGCCTGGGTGGCTTAGTCAGTTAAGCGTCCGACTTTCGCTTAGGTCATGATCTCGCGGTTCGTGGGTTCGAGCCCCGCGTCGGGCTCTGTGCTGACTGCCAGCTCAGAGCCTGGAGGCTGTTTCAGAGTCTGTGTCTCCCTCTCTCTCTGACCCTCCCCTGCTCACGCTGTCTCTCTCTCTCTCTCTCCTAGAAATAAATAAAACATTTTTAAAAAAAATAAAAAATAAAATAAAAAAGCGTGTGTATGTTTGGCTACTAACTTAGAAATGACAAATTAGACACGAAGCAATGTCATAGCTGTATAACCACCCAGGATGATTTTATGGGACATACTTGAGAATTTCTGGAGGGAGGCTAACCATGTGCCATAGATTTGTGTTTTTTCCGCAATGAAAGAGAACCACGCAGGCCATGAATTGTTAATATTTTAAGATCACCAGGAAATAGAACATATGTACATGTGCACCCTCACATCCACACATAAACACTTTCTATTCAATGCAAAGACTTTACTTAGACACTGAAATGATTACAAGGACCCAGAATGTATTTTTTCCAGACTCAAACTCTGGCTTCTGTACTTCTAGAAAACATTAAATGTAAGAAAGCAGAGCAGAGCCCATTGTTCAGATGGGAGCTTTCCTAACATGGTAGGCCAGGGGTGATATCATCTTCTAACTTTGGCTTATCTTTGTATCAAGGTGAGAGACATCATGATGGAGCATGAGAACCTGGAACTGAATCAGGTGGAGCTGTGTCTGTATCCTGGTTTTACCACTTATTAGCTGTAATATCATAGGAGGATGATTTGATTCAAATATTTTCAATTCCCTCAGAAATGAAATAGGGATGATTTCTTACAAGGCAGCAAAAGCAAGGTCTGGTGAGTTGTTGGTAGGGTATGGCAGCATGGAATCCACATAAATGAAGACCTGAAACATTTCTTTGGAGAGACTCTAGGAAAGGGGCCAGATATGCTGACCTTGACTTAGTATATTGGACATTGTGATTGCCTTTGAAGGGTCTGCTCTACCCCTCTCCTATTACATGGTTACTATGCAAATTGGTTTGGCTCTGATTAGCAAAAGCCAATCAGTGTACTTTCATTCCCTTTGGCACAGCAATTGTGTCAGGGACCAGCAATAACCACAGGTCTAAGCCAATGAACGCATGCCATTTACCTCGCAAGATTAGTCACGTCAGAACACAGAATTATTTTATATGTGATTAGAGAAAAGATAGGATCCCTCTGTTATTTTGGAAGGTATAATATACAGCTACAGCTGTAAGGGTTGGGGCTGATGCAGACACAAGAGAAGGCATTTAGATACAGCTATGAAATATAGGAAGGAAGAGATACATGAATTTTAAGGAAATAGAGCCAGAGTCCTGATCAAACTATTCCTAAACACCATCCTACTTTTTTTACTTCAATGAGACAATAAATTCCTTTTGTTGTTTAAATATGGTTGATTTGTATTTTGAATTTGTTATTACTTTCCACTAAAAGCATGCTAAAATATACACACTGACAATTTTAGTTGTCAGAATGCAGAAATGATTATGAATTTAAAGTGAACCTGAGTCTTGAACTTGTTCCTGGCAAATGTGTCAACCACTCCACTCCCCTTCCCCCACCATGTCTCCATTCTTCCTAACCAACCCCACCCCCAAACTTTGGGCACATCTTTGATATCTAAGCTGAGATAGCTTTGTAATTAGAAGTTAAACAAGAATTTTACTATACTCTGGGGCACATTAGGTTCAAGTTGTATTGCTTTAGGGCCCTCTAATGGACATTAACACAAAAGAAGGCACCAGGGCCTTTACTTTTTATACCTTTGGCCATAGAAGACAGCAATGCATTTATGTATGGCACATTTCCTTTGCCAAGTTATCTATGGCATCCTGCTACTAAGTTTAAAGAAATAATTGTATGCACAGAATTAAGTGTAGCCAGTATCAAAGCAGGCTTATAGAGTAAAATACATCATGTTTTACTTCTTTTTTATTTGGCCATCTGCTAAAGTATGAGATAGAGGACAGGAGAGTAGGAAGAAAAGCATGAAAATGAATAAATTATTCTAGGAACCAGAGTGGATCAAGAAACTGGTGAGCAGAACAAAATCTTGTGGCTCTGTCTTAAGCTCTTTTTGGTGGCTATTCAATTTTACATATTTAATTCTCAATTTCTTTATTTTGCACTGGAGTCATATTAGTAAAGGCCCTCCTAACTTATTTAATAAGTAACTTCTACAATTTCAATGGACTAACAAAATAGAAGTTAGCTATTGTACTCCTGTAATGAGCTTAGACTGTTGATCCTGGTCTGTGCTGCTGATTTTTTTCCATATTGGATTTAAGGATTCAGGCTTTTTCTGTCTCATGTTCTGCTGCTGTCTAAGGTAGGGGTTGGCAAATTATGTCCTGTAGACTCTTCACTGGTTTTTGTAAATAAAGTTTTATTGGAACACAGCTTCAAATGCTTATGTGTTGCTCATGGCTGCTTTTGTACTATGAAGGCAGAATGAAGTAGTTTTAACAGATAATATGACAACAAAGCATAAAATATTTACTATCTATCCCTTTTCAGAGAAGTTTGCCAGCCTTTGCTTTAAGGTCCATTTGTCCTCTGTGTTGAACGAGCAGGAATAAAGACCATGGAGAACTTATAAACACTATTTTGAAGCCTTGGATCAGAGAGGACATTCATTTCTTCTATTTACATTTCATTGGTAAAAACTGGTCACATGGACACAATAGATGTAAACAGTTCTGGGAAATGTAGTCTCTGGCTAAGAAGCCTCTTCCCAGCAATGACTTGACATTATGAAGGGTGGAGCACACATTTTGGTAAACAATGATCTGTCTCTGCTACAAAATATCTAATCATAGCCTTGAAAGGGACCATAGAAGCTATACTTAATTAATTAATTCCTACTCATCAAGTGTATCCCTATGTTTCAGGCAAAATTTGGGGTTCTTAAAAAAGAGAAAGGAATAAGACTTAGTCAAATAAGTGAAACCACCATATACAGATCTCTTTTATTCTCGTTACAGGAAATTCAAGTTTAACACTGTCATCTAAATAGTCATGGTGGGAATAATGGACTGATAGGGAAGGGGAAAATGAGTTCTGTCTGGTCCTAAGTCACTGTGTCCTAGATGTCAGCTGTTGGAAAATGAAGTTGTTCACATAGAAGAATTTGAGCAGATACTCAGAATTGGAGTTCAGAACTGGGCATGTAGAGCTAGGCTACACAAACCATGCCAAAGGCTTACCAAGGAACTGTGCCAGCAACTGGTGAAAATAGAAGATGCTTCAGCTGGTGAGTTAAGGAGGCAAGGCAGGTTTGCCTATAATGTCTTTATAAGTTAAGTTCAGTGTTTTCCCCTCTATTCTATTCTACTCTTCCTTTCTTTAATTATATTCAATTAAGTGTCTACATTTTGCTTGACAGTGAGGACACTAAGTAAGACATCATCTTTGCCCTTGAGGAACACATGATTTAGTAGAGGAGATAAACACAAAAATAAATTGTTTCAATAAAATTTGGTAATTCTCTTGAGGATGCTATGCCCAGGTGCCTAATCCTACATGAGGGAATAGTTTGGAGTGTTAAGAATGACTCCCTAGATGTGATGACACCTGAGTTATGTATTAAGAGGTAGGATTAGGGAGAGGCAAAATATTGAGCAGAGGGAGAAGGCCACCCATGGATATAAAATATCATAAAAACCCCATAGAGGCCTAAAGTAGCATAGTCATTTTGAGGAAATTAAAGTTTCTGAAATTGTTGTAACATAAAGTTCAAGAGGCAAAATATTAGGACTTGGATCTGGGACAATAGCAAGGCTTAGATTGTAGAGTCCCATGGAGTCCATGTTGAAGACCCAGGATTCTATTGTCGTGATGATGGGGAGACATTGAAGCTTTTCCTCTCTGTTGCCTTTTTTTTTTTTTTTTTTACTACTGAGTTCAGAATAGAGGCTGCTGCCTTGTTATGAAAACTACAGTGTAAGGAAAAACATGAAAGACTACACAAATGAGCCAAGATCAAAAACCCAGAATCCCTTATAAGCCCCTGATCAATAACAGTATCATTAGTTTGGCCATGGCCCAGCCAGGAAGTGGGAGAAACTCAGTTGCAAAGGTATTTTGTTTTCCCTGAGATTATGAAAGGTGGGATTATATTTTGAGAATTCTAGCTTCTGCTTCAATATTATATATCCTAATTTTTACTTTCAAACATAGTTTTCCCTGTTGTTCTGGGCCTTGTTCTACTTACAAAGAATTAAAAGGCAACATTTTCTTTGTGGGAGTGGGTGGGAGTATGCCCTGGCATTCTGGATGAGTCATTTCTTATCTGTTTACCTTTAAAAATAATTTTTCTTTTGGTCCAGTCTTGCTGGATGATGAAAGGCACTTTGAGCTTTTAGAGGACAAGGGACTCCTTTCCCTTTTTAGCAACTTCTCTTGTTTATATCAATGCCTTATTTCTATATTTCACTCCTTCTTGCCACTCTTTCCTTTCTCAGCTGTCATTGCCATTTGTTTTAGCAATAAATAAGGAATGAAAGGCAAAACATAACAGCCTGCCATGGTTGCTGACAATGATAAGTCTGTGGGGAACTTTTTCAGAAGCCTCAGAGAAGAGAATCCAGTGGTTTCTCAGCCCACAGTTTTCAGCTGCACTGGGAACAATGGCTCTTCTGCCTACCTCCAAAGGACAAGATGAGACATGGGTCTTGTTTTTTCTTTCTCTTCCAAACTTCAAACTTGAACAAACAATCTTTACTTAACCCATATGGAAAACTTGCAAACACAAACACATTCCTCCTCTCCTATTAGTGCTGGGATGAAAGGCAAACTTCAAATTAGTTAATGTTCATGTAGTTAAGTCGTTCCCTATTGACTTGGAATATGTAGGTGGGGGAGTGTACTTGGAGAGGGGCTTTTGCTGTTGGGCCAACAGCAGAATGAAAGCCAAAATCACTCAGATTGCAAGAGAAAGCTTAGGGGGAAAAAAAGCACAAAGAGCTTCACCCTATTATATGTCGGATTTCCCACTTCACATGGCATATCTGGGTGGCACTGTGAAAAATGGAGGCAGACTTTTTGGGAGGGACCATCCTGTTCCTTGTCATGGTCCATGAATATTTATGGAACAGCCCTTTATAGGGGTGCTTGGCGCCACCACACAGTTTATTGTTTGGCAGATTGAAAACTAGTTCCAAGCTCACCCTTGTTTCTCTGAGAAGAATGTCTGGGCTTCTAGCAATGAGGTGGCCACATCATTCCTGTTGGAAGACATGGCCTTCTTGTTCCATGACAGGAATGTCTATGCATACAATTTGAGAAGCAAACCAATTAGGGACTGAACAGTCCTTACAGCACAATCTTGGGAAGTGTCAACTGGTTTGCTGAAGTTTAGCAATTTCATTCCCATACCTATAGTGAAGTATTTGAGGAAAATTCAGGATGACATTATCCTGGTGAATAAGAAAAGCTTCCCCACCCCTAAAAAAAAAAAAAAAAAAAAAAAATGGAGGAGGAGGAGAAGAAAGAGAAGGAGATGGAAGGAGAAGGAGAAGAAAAAGGAGACTCAAATATTTTTAACAAGTTGAAAATTGGTTTAGAGGTCATAAATTGGAAGAGTCTTTAATTTAGTGCAACATCCAGCAGTCAAGAGAGTTCAATTTAATCCCAGAAGAGCTTTCTTTAATGAATCATCACATTCACCCTGAAATATCACTGTTACATCATAGATATTATAAAGGTTTTAACTATGGATGTATAGAGTGTCCATGGATGGATATCAGGGAGGTACATAACTGGGTGTTTAAACTTGCTAAAATTCTAGGCAAATATCACATGTGTGTCTTTGTGTATATGGGTGTGCATGTGTGTGAATGTGTGTGTTTGCACTTTTCGCAGAGAGAAGATTCATTGCTTTCATCAAATTTCAAAGGGATTTGTTGGACTTACATATTAACAACCAATGTTAGAGTGTTGAAGTAGCAAAAGACTTCAGACATATCTGGCCCAGATATGTGTTTTTCAATGTGCTTTGCTGTGCTCAAATTTTCATGTTCATGAGATTCACCTGAGATGCTTGTTTAAAGATTCCTGAGCCCTACCTCTGCTTATACAGTCTAATTTAATTGATCATGGGGGTGGGGCCCACAGTTCTGCCTTATTTTTTTTCTATTCAGAATTTATTGGATGCTTTTTATTTGTTTGTTTTTAATTTATTTTTAATTGCAGTATAGTTGATGCACAATGTTACATTAGTTTCAGGTGTAAAACATAGTGATTCTACAAGTTTATACATTGGGCTATGCTCACCACAAGTGTAGCTAGCATCTGTCATCATACAGCACTATTATAATACCATTGTAGAGTTCTTCTTTTTTTAAAAAAAAAAATAACATTATCGTGAACATACAGTGTTATATTAGTTTCAGGTGTACAATGTAGTGATTCAACAACTCCATATATTCCTCAGTGCTCGTCAAGATAATTGTACTATTAATCCTCTTCAACTATTTCACCCATCCCCCACCCACCTCCCCTCTTTAAAGTTCCCCACCTCCCCTCTTTAAAGTTCTGCTCTTAATAAGAATTTTGGGGATGGTGAGCTGAAAGCATAGTCCAAAGATTATACTCTGAATGCCATGTGAATTTAACAGATATGGGGAAGTGTGATGGTCAAGTGTACAGAACTGGTAGAAATCACTTTCCCTTCAAACCAGAGCAGTTCTATCTTTTTCTGCTTTGTATATTGAGCTTCCACATAAGATTTCATTTGAACAAAGACTAAAAAATAACATGGAAGTTACCAACATAATACAACACCCTCATATTGCAGAAGAGAGAACAGAGACCCAGAGAGATAAAGGGGTAATGCCAAGGTCACAATAGCTGTTAGTGACAGGATTGAAATAAAAACCTAAACTCCCCTTATTTCCTTGTCCAGGCCTTTCCATCATGGCTGATTCTCCTTAAAGCCACAAATTGGAGTTAAAACACCAAATAGCTTTTAGCATACTATATAGAAAGGAATACAAGGAGTAGTTAAGCTTTCTCATCTAGCCAGATAAGGAAGTCTTCCTACTTTGGAGTGTTTAAATTAGGAGAGACTTGGGTGATCAGAAGGTCTGAGTGAAGGCCTTGGGAGACCAAGAGTAGTTATAAAGGCACATGGAGCACATGTGATTGAAAATATCTTCATATTGTCTCCTGTTAGACTTACCACCCAAGATACTTTGCCTCGATAATGGTCCCAAGAAAGTAATTTAGTGTTAGACCACCCATGAGTTCTTTTATTCATCCCTATATCTGAGTCTTTTCTTTGAGTATTTATCTGGTAGTTAATGGCTTCAATGTGATTCTTTCAACTTGATGTTAAGATTTTCAACATGGTATAAAATTTCAATTCAGTTTGATATTGGGGAGGAGTAACACTTAGCATTCTTCACGGAGTTTAGACTTGTATTCATTTAGGAAGGTGAACTTCAAAATTTTCAAAGCTCAGTCCAGGTAAATTTGGGTGGTAGTATCAATTAGCCAGGCTAACAGGAGTTGTAAAACCAGTCTGAAAATGTTTTCCAATCTCTCTCATGATTTCTGATTTTGCCACCTTCTGACTTATAAAAACAGTATATTTTCTTTGTTCTCAGTTTCCGTTTTGGGTTCTGGCCAGTATTGAGAACTAGGAATTTCAAGGCTGATTTACAAAACTATCAAAAGCCCTTTTTTTTTAAATGTCAGACACTACTAATATGGAACATGCAGTGAAGTACTGTTTATCTAGGATGCAAATAATCAACCCCATAAAATAAAACCAGAATTATATTTTATTCAGTTTTGTGCAATGACGATTGACATTTAGAATCCTGATCTGAGGCTCTACAGATTCTTGATATACCTAACTCATCAAAGGAAGATTCCACTATAATCAGTCACTCTTCAGAGCCAGGGACATCTTACCATATTTTATTGTATCATGGAGGTCTCAGCATGGAAGTCTTAGCATAAACATGCCCAGCCAATTGTGACATGTCGGAGCCTGTCCCAAGGCCTGGGGTAATGGAGCCATTGGTGCTCTAGTTGGGAAAAGGAATACCCAAACAGTACTGTATCAGATGCAAAAGAATTTCACCCTGATGGGAGAGGCTTGGTTGTACAGAAGACTGTTGGCTTTATCTTGGAGCAGCCATATGAAGTTGGTCCCTTCTGGAACACTGTCAGAGGTTTAGGAAGATAGGGCAATGTACAGGATATTTGATGTTTGTGGTCCAGATTTACTCTCTACCCTTTCCACCCTTCCCTGAAACCCAGCGGTGATATTAGGCTCTTTTATCCTCTGGATTCTGGTTGGGTTGGTTGGATCATTAGTAAGGGACAGAGTAGAGTGAGGTCATCATTTTGGTATTATCATTCAAGTTCCCTTAACATCTTCAGGCTGGGTGTTTCTCTCAAGTGAAGGTCATAGCTCTGTCAGTTGTTCTCTCCTCTCCTCTCACTGTCTCTCCAGGTTCCCTCCATGGCTCTCTCATTTTGTCCCTTCAGGCCTGGGAATAGTGATGGTGATCCTCTGTCAGTTGCTTTAGGGTAGTGCATTATTCCATGTGGTTTCTCTATGTGCTCTCTGCTCTCTACAACTTGGGCAAGAATCATTTTATTAAAATTGCTTTTATTTTCCCAGTTTAAGTACATCATCTGTTTTCTGATGGTACCCTGATGGACAGGTGTGTAATAATGAATCAGTAAAATAAATGTTGTATCACTAATAGTTTGATCACTGAACATCCAGAGCAAGGAAGTTCTGGGTCTTAATATGGGCAGGAGGAAGCATTTTTCTTGAGATGTGTAGACTTTGGAATTGACATTAATACATAATTTTTCTGGAGCCAGCCAGAGAAGTTTAGTAAGTGTGTAGAATACTGTCACTGTCAGTCTAGCTCTGGTCTCTTTGGATAAACTGGTTTGCTCAAATAAAATAATTCTAGAGATAAATGTAGGTTCCTCAGACAAAAGTACTGTTTTCAGAACTCATTTAGGCCATCTTCCACTTGCCTGCTTCACTCAAGCCTGATTTTTCAAGTTCTTCGGCTTCCTCAATTTATTATGATTTGTCATTGCAGTGTAGTTTTTATTGCCAGTTTATCTTTTGATTAAAGATTGTTTGGAATGATGACCTTGGAATCTTTTTGGACACAATAAGAGCTATTTATAGTTTATGTTTGAATTCTTGCTATGGCCAAGTATTTTGATAAATCCTTTTTTTGTTGTTGTTTTGAGAGAGAGAGAGAGTGGGCACAAGTGAGCAAGGGAGAGGAAAGAGAGAGAAAGAGAGAGAGAGAGAGAGAACCAAGCTCACTCAAAGCTGGACCCATGCTGACCTGAAGTGTGCTCACCTGATGTGGGGCTTGAAGTAACCTAAACTGGGACTTGAACTCACGAACTGTGAGATCATGACCTGAACTGAAAGTCAGATGTTTAACTGACTGAACCACCCAGGTACCCTTGATAAACGCTTTATATGCTTGATCACGTTTAATTCACACTATGACATTATAATGTATGTATTATTGTTATCCCCATTTTACAGTGAGGAAGCTAAGGCTTGAATGGTCACATGACTAATAAGTGGCAGAGTTAGAAGTTAAACGCAGGTCAGTCCATGCTGGTAAACTCTATGTGATATTTACCATTTGGCTCTCTACAGTGTTATTATAGGAAGTAATGGCAAAAAAAACAAACAAACATAAAAACAAGCCCTACGTTTTTGACTGGTTGACTTTTTTCCTAAGATGGTGCATTCAAAGACTCCTCTACAACCCCAGCATACTGAAAGTAATCAGAAATGTGGAAAAGTAGATAAAGGTGATAGTTTGGGGGTCACATCAGGATTTCCCTTGCTTTGAGCCAGTGAGAGGAATGGTTTGTGATGAAATCCTATATTTTTAGCAGATAAATATTGAGCCATTAATTTATTCATTCATTTCTTTAACACACTTAAAAAACTTTCATTTTTAAAAGCTTTTATTTTATGATACAAGAGATAAAGAGATGAAAATTGGAAATAAATAAATATGGGAATAGATAAGTAGAACCTAATTCCTACAGATTTAAAGACTTCTTTTCACTTCAGACATTACAACTCCATGCAAACTCTTTGAAAGTAGGTATTCCTGTAAAGTATAAGGACAATATTGTTATTTAGAGTGAAGTCTGGACTCAGTATATGTACATGAGTAGTGTATTAGGGGTCTCTGGAAAAACACAACATATACCTATATCTATTCAATATCTGTATATCTAGTCTATATATCCATATCCATATCCATATTTAGAGGGAAATTTATTTAAGTAATTGGCTCACATGATTATGAAGGTTGGTCAGTCCAAAATATACAGGCTCGTCTGGCAGGCTGGAGACTGAAAGAAAAGACAAAGAGTTCAAGTCCTAAGGCTGTCTGCTGCAAATTCCCTCTTTCTCAGGAGTAGTCAGTCTTTGGTTTTATTTAGGTCTTCACCTGATTGGATTAATCCCACCCATATTAGAGACAGCATTCTACCCATCATAATGTCCATCAATTTAAATGTTAATTTTATCCAAAAACACCATCATGGAACTATCCAGAATCATGTTTGATCACATATCTAGGTACTGTGGCTGAACCAAGTTAACACACAAAATTAACTGTCACAGGTAGGCAGAAGGTGCTTCAGGAGCCAATACAATTAGTAAAAGCTGGACTCTGAGGACTGCATAACCCCTTTTCTCCTCACCATAGGGAGAAGAGCAGAGCCAGCTAAAGTACTCTAATTAAACAGGGTAAGCATGAGATAATGAATTCAGGAGAGAACACCATTGACTACTGCCTTGAATTCTGATTTTTCCTTGCTTGCATCTCATCTTCACCCTCCATCATTAGAATATTTCTCTGTTTTGGTAAGTTAGCCAGTTATTATCTCTTGTTGACCAATGCCTGTATCTGTGTTTGGCAAAAAATAACATCTTGTTGTAAAGATCTACTAGGCCATATCCAAATCAAGGGTCATATACATCATTTATTCACTCATCCATTTGTTCATTCTTTTACTTATCTATTTAACAAATATTATTAAGAAAATATTAAGTGCCAAAATTTTTTCTAGGTTTTGGGAACCAAACAAACACTGAACAAAGTGGATGTAGTTCTGGTCTTTATGGAGCATACTGCCTCTGAGGTAAGATGGATAATAAACCAATAGTTGCTCAAATAATTCTCTTATTATAGATGTAATAAATAGCATGAAGAAAAAGTACAAGGATCAATGACAGGATAAAACAAGAATGAGTAAAATTAGCAGGCACAGAACTAATAATAAAACCTCTTTCTTTGTATCTCAATCTAGCTTATACAATCCCATATAAATGCTCTATCATCTGTTTGCTAATGGCTGGAAACACATGAGCATGGTGACTCTTGAAGCTATGTGTTGAAAACAGAAGAACCACACATTGAAAGCAGCTTGAATTTCTGAAACTCTGCACTGAAGGCCACCCACCAAATGCGAGAATTGGACTGTTATGTGTAAGAAGTGAATTTATGTTGGTTTTATCCACAGTAATGTTGGTATTTGTTTATTCTGAAGCTAGAATTACTGTAACTAATATGGAAACAAATTCTGAAACTTGAAATGCAGTACAATCTATGACAAATATTTAAAGTAAGTGACAGTGACCTCTCAGAAATGTGTTAGAAAACTTTAGGATTGGAAAAATGGAGGCCTATGCTATAACTCTGAACAAATATTTGGTAAATGTATTAGTTGTGATAACTTGAAGGCAGAAGATGGACCTAATAAACCTTTAGCCTCAGTTCTCAACTTGGGGTGATTTTGCACCCCAGGTGACATTTGACAATATCTAGAGACGTTTTTGTCTGTCACAACTGGACATGAGGATGATGTTACAGTTGTGTAATGGGTAGAAGCCAGGAGATGCTGCTAAACTTCTAATGTGTAGGATAAATCACTGCAATAAAATAATTATCTGTTGTAAAATGTCAGTAATGCTGAAGTTGAGAAATTCTCTTCTAGGGTAGGTAGTCAGAAAGATTCAGAATGATCATGTAAATTGACTCTCACTTCCATTTGTCACTAAGATGTTACTAGAAAAATAAAGATAAATCCAGAAATAACTGTATTGTTTTCATACAGTAAGGGAATATAGAAAATCTCAAATTATAGATCCTCTAAAAAATCCCATTTCAAGACCCCAAACCATTACAGATGAGATATAAAGACGTTTTGAATGATAGTGGTTAATTTACATGTAATCTTGGAGTAACGATCAGATTACGGGTATGTGACCTTCCCACCCAAGTCTTTGATTTCAGCTGGCCTCAAGATATCTGCTATTAATTTGAGACAGATTGTTCTGGGAACCGGGAAGCAAAAACCTAATAATTGAGAATTTTGTTTAAGAAAGAACATTGGACATGGTTACTGGAACATGGAACTGATTGGAAACTAGATTACAAAAGAAATTTTCTTTGGTAAAGCAGTTAGTGTTACTGTAATGAGTAGTTATTATGAGGAGCTCAAGAAAGTGTCTTTGTGGAAATAGCATTTAAATGGGTCCTTAAAGATAAAAGGGAACAATCAACAAGTCAAAATTATACACTGTATACTCCCTGATGCCAGTAACTGAATGAGAGCCAGAGAAACTGAGATACAGTAAATTAAAGGGGAATAATGATAAATGAGGCTGTTAGGTGGGATAAGAACATAAAGGGCTTAGAGGCTATGGTGGGTATTTTGGAAGCTTGTGAATTTCTAGGAATTTGTCAGTTTCATCTAGGTTATCTAATTTTCTTGCCATAAAGTTGCTCATAGCATTTCCTTCTAATCCCTTTACTTTTTTGTTTTAGCAGTTTGAATGTGTCATCCCATTGCCTACTGGCTTTCATAGCTTCAATGAAGTGTTAGCTGTTAATCTCATTAAGACTCCCTGATGATGAGTTAGTTTTCCTATTTTCAAGATTCTTTGTCTTTGACACAGATACACTCAGAGGAAAAACAAAAACAACAACAAAAACAAAAACAAAAAACATGTGAAGACACAGGGAGAAGATGGTCACCTACAAGCCAAGCAGAAGGGTTAAGAAGAAACAAATTCTGCTGACACCTTAAACTTGGACTTATATTCTTCAGAACTGTGAAAAAATAAAATTTCTGTTTAAGCCTCCCAGTCTATATTATTTGTTACAAGAGCCTAAGCAAACTAATATAAGCCTTGACACAGTCTTCATGTAATTTTATTCTCCTTTCCAGGTCATGATTTTCCCCTCTGTTAGATGCTCTAACTGTAAGTGATGAAAACTAAATTTGTGTGTAATTGTTAGAGAACAGCAAAGAAAATAAAAACCCTCATTCTTGCTTAATTGATCTGCCCATTTTTAGGAAGTATCTACTTTTATACCTAGGTTAAGCAGATTCAGACTTTCTTTATAAAATGCAATTCTTTTCTCTTCTTTTTTAAAAAATAAGTATCTAATCTTCTGAGGATATATTTTAATTTTGTTGAATGATTTTTAACCATATTTTCCAAATAATCATTCACCCAGAATATTTCTGATGGTCATGAGAGTAGCAGAGAACTTATTTTGCTACCCTGGTTGGGAAACAAATTTAGTTAGTTTACACAGTTTGTTGTATTGATTTGAACCATTTATGTTTTGGTTTATTTTTTTTTTTTCTGATAAGACACATTGGGAAGAGAAAGTGGGATGAGAATTTAAGCTCCATCTAGCTCTGCTACTAACTAGCCATGTTATCTTGAGTTAACTAATTATATTTTCTGAGTCTAATAACTACTTTGTAATATGGCATTAGCCTCCTGGTTGCCTTACCTGGTCGTTTATTCATTGTCATTGTCATTAAGTAAACAAGTAGGCATTAAGGAACTCCTGCATGCCAGACACTGTATTAGATATTGGTGACTCAATGGAGAGCAAAGCTAGCCACAATCTGTTTTTGAGGAGCTTACATTTTAGTGGGAAAATAAATACTTATTAAAGAAATACACAAATAAATATAAAATTGCGATGTTTCTAACTGTGAGGAAAGAGGCTTTGAAAGCTTATCATGGAACTTAGGGGAGTAGGAGAAAGGTATTTTATCTAATCAAAGTGTTTGAAGGTCTCCCCAAGGAAGTGATAATTGGGCTCACATCTGAAAAAGGGAGTAGGTGCCAACTAGGTCATTGGGAGGATAAAAACAGACAATGGATATGGATGTGATATTATCTTTTTACTATCATTACTGTTATTTAATAAATAGAGACCTAGTCAGCTTTTTTTCGCCTAGTCAGTGAACTTACAATGTGTCTTATGATAACTTCTTGTCTGCGATAAATCCTTCCAAACTTAAAGTTGATATACCTACAAAATTTCATATTCTCAAAGTAATTACCACATTCATGAGAAGAGCTATCAAAAAATCATCTTAGTGTAAATCATGGCCCTTTTACATTTTTCTTAATCTTGTTGCTATTTCCCATTCTCTACCTATGTTAAATAATTACTTTTATTTCTCATATTAAATTTGAATTAAGCAATTTTTTCTGTTTCTTATCTCATGCATTGGAAAGAGAGTTAATTCTCTTCAGCTTACTCCTACCCCAGTTTAAAGCCTTTGTTATAATGTACATAATTTTTGAAGACTTCTGACCAGTAAACTTCATACTTCAAAAATGGACCGTCTAAGCTTAATGGGCACCATTTAACAACAAACCATCTTATTCCCTAATACCAGGCAACTATATAAGGACTATCCAAACATAATAAAATATCTTTTTCCCCCAAGGGAGGACTTAAATGGATACTCACCTATTTCTGTTCCTTTCTTATAACATTGTTGCCTTCCCATCTGAGTTGAGACCAAGTCCCCAAGATGGTTTAAGCTCTTCTAACTGAGAACAAACTGAACTCAGATGTGAATCAGGGAAGGTGGGCCAACTTTGCTTTCAGTCTTGGCATTAGCAAAGGGCCAATTTCTTCAAAGCTTTACAGTATCTGGCAACTTTGGGTCAATGCTATAAAGATCAAGCTTATAAATGTTCATTTAGCAATTCTGTGATAATTACTTTGCCACTAATTTTCCAAGTGGGCAAAAAAACTTTAATTATTTCATTTTTTCTTCTTTTTGTGAAGTACTTCTAGTATGTGTTTGTAATACACATATGTAAAATAGCTAGATTTTTAGATCATTCTAAGCTGACTTAACAGAACTTTTAAGACTGAGAAGAAATTGATACTTTCTTTGTTGAGCAATTCTGAAAGAGAGATCATTTAATGGGTCTTTTTACTGGTCTAATTTTGAAAGGTGTGCATAACAATTCCCCTGTAGACAGACAAAAATGGATGAAGCCAATGTTTGGCATGATAACATATCTGAAATGAGGTGGGATTCCTAACCTCATATCTAGTGTCTTAAATTGAGCAGTTACTAGAGTCTAACTGGTGGATTCATAATGCTGGAATGTTTGGAAAAGATGGAGACATAGGTGAAAGTCTACTTGCACTGAGGAGAGAGGGAGACTTTAAGATCAATAAACAGCACTTAGTTGAAACCACTAATGAGCTACACAACATGTCTCAGAAATCACAAGTTTATTTTGCTTTTGTGAGAAGTTGGAATAACTTGTGGCTGAGGCTGTCAACACACTAGACCACAGTCTTGTGGCGGCCTCTGTTTTTTCTAGTGCCTGAGAAGTGTAAAGTTCTAAGACAAGGGCAGGAGCCCTTTCATCTGAAGCATGCAGCTCATCAGCTCCACAATGGAAAACAACTTAAGACATACCATCTTAAAGAACCAAGGATGTAATGTTATGAAAGCCAAGTCCTTGATATTCTTCCACACTTTGAACACTCCCACATTTTAAAGAAAAATATACCGTCTTGCAAAGCTAGGACTCTGAAAATATGGAACACAGACTTTCACCCTGAGCCCATTTTTTTTTTTTCTTTCCTTCTTTGTGAATTAACAAATGCATGAGAAAATTTTGTTGTGAGGGGTGGGGAGTGAGGAGGTAGGAGGAGAGAAAATAAAATGGAATTTAAAAATGTACTTTTATTCTTCTGTTTGGCATTTAGTGAAGACTTAAGTAGTCCTGGGGGTGTATTTCATTTCTCTGACTCTTAAGATTTCTCTTCAAATCACCATAATTCTTAGCTCTATACTTGGAACAATATGAGTGCCCTCTGGTGGACAAAATGTCATTTTAAAGTTTTCCGTATATGGACTGAACATGGGTAAGTATGGAGAAAATAAGTCTTATGTTTCAAATGTCCTCATTGAACTTCTGAAATCCCTGGGCAATTAGTTCCTGATGTTCTGGGGTGGTGACAGCTATGAAAACAGTTCCATAAAATAAGGGGATAAAAGGCAAGCTGGGGTGACCCCCCAGGTCCTATTTGCCACTGAAATAGTGTCTTGGAACAAAACATAATTTGGAACTTGAACAGGGAACTCAAATGTCTAAGGGAAGGCTAATAGCTTTACTTCTTGACCATCAATGCCAAGATCATAAATGCTCTCATTAAGAATGAGACACTAATGAAACAACTTGGGCACAGGCAAAGCCTCTTAAAGACCTCTAACTGTTGGCATATAGTAGTAAAAAGTCTTTAAGAAAGAATGGAATATCTTGAAAAAAAGAAAGGAGGAATGGAAGGAAGTAGGGAGAAAGGGAGGGAGGACTAGAGAGAGAGGAAGGAAGGATGGGAGGGAGGGAGGGAGGGAGGAAGGAAGGAAGGAAGGAAGGAAGGAAGGAAGGAAGGAAGGAAGGAAGGAAGGAAGGAAGGAGGGGAACCACACAGGTTGTGTAACCCTTTCACATACCCAACTAACGCAAAGGACCAAGCCAATGTAGGACTTTAAGGGCTCATAAAGCATGTTTTCTCATTGTTTATTCAGATATTCTTTACTTTCTCTGTTGGGTAATGACACATTAAAGACTGAAGGTAGACTATTATAGTTTGTTCTTTTTTAGTCTTTCTCAATTTTTGACTTACTACTAGGATAGCAATCTGATTTAAGATTCACCAAATTGACAAAGCCCTAGAATTATGGGCAGTGATATGAAAAGCAATGTTTAATAATTGTCCAGAAAATAAAACCCTGTTTTGTAACATTTGCCAATTTCCATGGTGTAAATAATTTCACCATGATTGATTTCAAGCTACCAGAACAATATCAATGAATATGTAATTGGGAAGAGATGCACAAAGTTAACTGTCACAAATTGGTACATGGCAGCTCCAGCCTGCCACTACATAGGGGACTTTCAATTATTTTTTCCTGCAACTTTCATATTTGGACCCTGAAGATATATTATTTTTGTAATAAGAAAAGGAACACTCAAATATAAGTTATTTGAAAAACCGACCACTACTGAAGAAATTGTTTGTAATAAAAAATGTCTTCCCAAATGACATATATCCCACAATATTTAATACTCTTTACAATGTTTCCAAGCTCATGATGTCACTGGAAACTTGTAAAAATTCTGTAAAGTAAATATAATAGATGCACATACTACCACTTGAGAAGGGAGGAATATGAAGACGAAGGGGGTTGCAGTAATATATAGGACTGGTCCTAAAATTCTAGTTTTCTAGTATTAATTCAGTTATTTCCCTGTTTTATGCAGATATTAAAAAGAAAATTTACAACTGGAATTGGTGAATTCTAACTGCTCTCACAGTTTTCTCTCAACAATGACGTTTACTCCACTCCCTGCTTTGGAGGAAAAGGATTATCTATCTACAGCTATCTCTTTAAGAGACTTCTGACTTGACAAAACAATAGATAGTGCTATGCTCTCAGTGTTGGACTCTGAAATGATTACAAAAACCACTAACCCTCTCTAGCTCCTGCAGATCTGGTAAGTAAGAGTAGAGTCTGATTATATTTCCCACCCCATCTTTTCCTTTGTTTAATTCTTTTGTTGGTTCAATGTTGATAGAGTTCTCCGTAGTTCATTTCTGTATATAATCCTCATATATTCTTGGGCTTTAGGAACTTA